CACAACGCCCGGCTATTTTTTGGTTGCAGCCGTCATTGTTGTTTGGCGGGTCCGGGCTGGGGATTCGAACCCACCACCTCAGGTGTACGTGGCTGGCGCCTTAGCCGGTTGAGCCACAGGCGCCGAGCCATTATTTCAGTTTTTGAACAGCAACTATTTGAAATGATGGCTGCAACCAAAAAATAGCCAGGTGTTGTGGTGGGCGCCTGTGGTCCCAACTACCTGGGAGGCTGAGGCAGGAGACTCGCTTGAGCCCAGGAGTTGCTGTGAGCTGTGATGCCACCACACTCTACCCAGGGAGACAGCTTGAGGCTCTGTCTCAAAAAAAAAAAAAATCCTACGATATTTTGAGGTTTCATAGCATGCTCAGACAGACTGTGGGAAGGCATGCAGAGGGAATCCTGGACTCTCTAGCCTCACTTTACTCATTAAGGGGCCCAGCACCCTTCCTCTTACTGGGCTCAGTGCCTTGCCTGTAAAAGGTGAGTACCTGGTAGCCTGTGATGCTCCAGCATGCCTCAGTGTGAACTGGTCAGCTTCAGGGAAATACCTTCTTCCTCCCTCCCTTTTCCTGGCCTCAGTAGTTGGGGAATCAGGAAGGGAAGTCATACACAAGCATATTGACCCTTTTCTCCATCTTATTTATTCAAACCTCCCTGTAATGGGAGGCCGAGGTAGGCGGATTGCCTCAGCTCACAATTTCAGAACCAGCCTGAGCTAGAGCAAAACCCTGTCTCTAAAATTAGCCAGGCATTGTGGAGGGCACCTGTAGTCCCAGCTACTCTGGAGGCTGAGGCAAGAGAATTGCTTGAGCCCAAGAATTGGAGGTTGCTGTGAGCAGTGACACCATGGCACTCTACCGGGGGTGACAAAGTGAGACTCTTGTCTTAAAAAAAAAAAGAACTTTTAGAGCAACTTTGATTATTTGCCTAGTAATACCTTCCAAATAATAATGTTCAGTAAATATTTGAATAAAATTTCAAATAAAATTTCAAAAAGCTGAAAGATACCTTAAGAGATAATCCCAGTTTTCAGGACAAACCACCTTTAACTATTATTTCTTTCAAATTTGTACAGTGAATAGACATTTGAAACCTGGGTTATTTCCTTAATTCCTTATGTAAAGTTTTAGTTTGATTTTCTTATATGGCTTGTAAATAATTTCTGAAGTTAGTTTCTTTTATTTGTTGTTTTGTTTTTGAGACAGCATCTCACTTTGAGGAGATTTGGCCTAAATCAAAGAATTGAACTTGGATGTCTCCATCTAATACTATTCTGCCCTGAATACTTTGGCACTATAGAATTCCAAACTACCACTTTTGTCATTTCTAGGGGAGGTGACTCCAGGACTATCTCAGGTAGAATACGCACTTCGCAGACACAAACTGATGTCTCTGATCCACAAGGAATTGCAAGGGCAGAGTGGGACTGACCAGACCATAGTTGTACTCTCCAACCCGACTTATTACATGAGCAACGATATCCCCTACACCTTCCACCAGGAGAACAATTTCCTGTACCTGTGTGGATTCCAAGAGCCTGATAGTATTCTGGTCCTTCAGAGCCTCCCTGGCAAGGAGCTACCATCACACAAAGCCATGCTTTTTGTGCCTCGGAGAGACCCCAGTCGAGAACTTTGGGATGGCCCACGATCTGGCACTGATGGAGCAATAGCTCTAACTGGAGTAGACGAAGCCTATACCCTAGAAGAATTTCAACATCTCATACCAAAACTGAAAGGTAAGAAATGGGAGCGGATGTCAAATCACAAACCAGACTGGGATTGAGGCCTTCCTTGCCTATGAGACAGAGCTTCATTTAGTCACCCTTGGTAGAGTGCCAAGGTGTCATAGTTCACAGCTACCTCCAACTCTTGGGATCAAGCAATTCTCTTGCCTCAGCCTCAGAAGTAGCTAGGACTATAGGCACCTGCAGCAAGGCTCGTCTGTTTTTAGAGATGGGGTCTCGTTCTGGCTCAGGCTGGTCTTGAACCCGTAAGACCAGGCAGTCTATCCACCTCAGTCTCCCAAGTCCTGGGATTATAGGTGTGAGCCACCACACCCGGCCTTCCTTGCCTATTTAGACAAAATTATTAATTTTAAAATGGTTAGCCATATTTCCCTAAGCACCATGAAAGAGATCTTGGTCTTCTCCAAAATACTGAGCTGCTTTAAAGATTTCATTTATTTAGTTCCTAAATCTTCACTGGATTATTCATTAACAGAGACTTTTAACTACACTCATTTGAAATCTGAGAGAAAGAATGTCATTTTAAAGGAAGGGAGTAAGTTGGGCACAGTGGCGCACACCTGTAGTCCCAGCCACTTGGGAGGCTGAGATGGGAGGATTGGCTGCGGTTAAGAATTCTAGACCAACCTGTTCAACATAGCGAGATCCCAGCCATCTCCAAAATATTAAAAATCTAAAAAAAGTTTTTTTTTTTAAATAGCCCAGGCTGGTCTGAAACTCCTGCATTTCTCCCTCCTTGGCCTCCCAAACTGCTAAAATTACTAAAATTACAGTTGTGAGCCACTGGACCTGGCCCTAAAGAATTTTTTTTTTTTTTTGCAGGTTTTTGGCCGGGGCTGGGTTTGAACCCACCACCCCTGGCACATGGGGCAAGCACCCCACTCCTTTGAGCCACAGGCACCGCCCTTCTTTTTTGTTTTTTTTTTCCAGGCAGAGTCTCGTTATGTCACCCTTGGGAGAGTGCTGTAGCATCACAGCTCACAGCAGCCTCAAACTCTTGGGCTTAAATGATTCTCTTGCCTCAACCTCCCGCATAGCTGGGACAACAGGGGCCCGCCATAATGCCTGGCTATTTTTTGTTGCAGTTGCCATTGTTGTTTAGTTGGGCCAGGCCAGGTTTGAACCTGCCATTCTCTATATATGTGGCTGGTGCTGTAACCACTGTGCTATGGGTGCCGAGCCTTTAGAGTTTCTCAAAAATATTTCTCATCCACCACTTGTTTTTTTTTTTTTTTTTTTTTTTTTTTAGAGACAGAGTCTTACTCTTTCACCCTTTGTAGAGTGCTGTGGTGTCACAGCTCACAGCAACCTCCAGCTGTTGGGCTTAGGTGAGTCTCTTGTCTCAGCCTTCGGAGTAGCTGGAACTATAGGCGCCTACCACAACGCCTGGCTATTTTTTTGTTGCAGTTTGGCCAGGGCCAGGTTTCAACCCAGCACCCTACTCACAGAGTCACAGGCACCACCCCCATCCACCATTCCTAATGTTTCTAGTTTGCTATATAAAAGCACATTGAGAGACTGAGGCTGGAGAATCACTTGAGCCCAAGAATTTGAGACCTGAGCAACATAGTAAGATCCGCTCTGTGCAAGTAAAAATATTAGGCAGGCAGGGCTGTGTATACCTGAAGTCCCAGATACTCAGAAGGCTAAGCTGGGAGGATTGCTAAAACCCAGGAGTTTGAAGTTGCAGTGAACTATGATGCATAACACTGCACTCTAGTATATGCAACAGAGCAAGGCCTGTCTTAAGGAAAATAAAAAATACTAGACAAAGGAAAAGATTAATGAAATCGTATTTATCTAAAAAGTTTAAAAACTGGGCTGGGCACTGTGGCTCATGCCTGTAATCCTAGCACTCTGGGAAGTGGGTGGATTGCTTAAGCTCAGAAAATTGAGACCAGCCTAAATGAGAGCAAAACCATATCTCTGGAAAAAAAAAAAAAAAACTAGCTAGGCTTTGTGTCAAGTGCTAGTCCCAGCAATTTGGGAGACTGAGGAAAGAGAATAGCTTAAGCCCAAGAGTTTGAGGTTGCTGTGAGCTATGATGCCACATGGCATTCTACCCAAGGTGACAATTAAAAAGTTTAGAAACCTGGGTGGTGCCTGTGGCTCAGTGAGTAGGGTATCGGCCCCATGTACCAAGGGTGGTGGGTCCTAACTCAGCCCTGGCCAAACTGCAACAAAAAAATAGCCAGGTGCTGTGGCAGGTCCCTGTAGTCCCAGCTACTTGGGAGGCTGAGGCAGGAGAATTGTGTGAGCCCAGGAGTTGGAGGTTGCTTGAGTTGTGTGATGCCACAGCACTCTACTGAGGGTGATAAAGTGAGACTCTGTCTCCTACAAAAAGAAAAGAAAAAGTTTAGAAACCTAAAAAAGATGACCTATGATTTTATACACTGAGAACATGTAATAGAGGTTTTTCTTTTAAAAACTGAAGCAATTAAATTTCTATCATAAGTAAGCTAAATGTTTCCAATATAATGTGCATTTAAAATCATTTTCATTTTAAAATGAAAAAAAAATTTTTTTTTGAGACAAGAGTTTCATTCTGTTGCCCCCACTAGAGTGCTATAGCATCACAGCTCACAGCAACCTCAAACTCTTGGGCTTAAGCAATTCTCTTCCCCCAGCCTCCCAAAGAGCTGGGACTACAGGTGTCTGCCACAATGCCCAGCTATTTTTGGTTGCAATTGTCATTGTTGTTTAGCTGTCCCTTGCTGGGTTCGAACCTGCCAGCCTCCGTGTATGTGGCTGGCACTGTAACCGCTGCTTAGGGTGCTGAGCCTGAAAATAAAATATTTAAGACATAAAAACACTAATGCATATCCAAAAAAAGTTTTCTAGGGGCAGAGCCTGTGGCTTAGTGAGTAGGGCACCAGCCCCAAATACCGAGGGTGGCAGGTTTAAACCCAGCTCCAGCAAACTGCAACAACAACAACAAAAATAGCCAAGTGTTGTAGCAGGCACCTATAGTCCCAGCTACTTGGGAGGCTCGGGCAAGAGAATTGCCTGAGCCCAAGAGCTAGAAGTTGCTGTGAGCTGTGACAGCACGGCACTCTACTGAGGGTGAGGAAGTAAAACTCTGTCTCAAAAAAAAAAGAAAGGTTTTCTGAATTTTGGATGGCGCCCATTACTCAGTGGGTAGGGCACCAGCCACATACACCAAGGCTGGCAGGTTCGAGCCCGGCCTGGGCCTGCTAAAGAACAATGACAACTGTAACCAAAAAATATAGCTGGGCATTGTGGCAGGTGCCTATAGCCCCAGCTACTTTGGAGGCTGAGGCAAGAGAATCACTTACACTCAAGAGTTTGAGGTTGCTGTGAGCTGTGACGCTACACCACTCTACTGAGGGTGACATAGTGAAACTCTGTCTCAAAAAAAGAAAAGTTCTCTGAATTTTTTTCTCTATTGTCCCAAAGTACATTTTAGTTGTATAAAACATAAAACCATTTAGTCTTGGTTGTTAGGAATACTGTGCATGGCCATGTGTCAGGAAAAAAAGGAACAAATGTAGATCTAGTGTTGAGTGCAAATCATTTTCATAATAAGCCTTCGTATATGCCTTCAGGCAAATATAGATCATTTCCTTGGTTCACTAAAGTTAAAAGATGAGCCATGATTGTTTACAGTGAGAATAGACAGCATTTGCAAACGGAGAGGTGGGCAACATGGATCAGTGCCCATTATCAACTATAGTGTTTCTATGGTAATGAATAAATGCTCCAAATGAGAGAAGAACCTTCTTCCCCTAACACTGAGTTAATTTTGTGAGTGACGAAATGCTTTGACCATAATGTCATGATCTGAGTATGTTTTTCTGTCCTTTTGTGTGCAGTTATTCAACAGTGCCTCTAGCTTAATGGTGGTGATGGAGAAAAATTGTTATAATTATTCTTTAACAATTAATAAGTAAAATCAAAGGTTGAATAAAGCTTTAGTCCCATCTGTCATCTTTATAAGGAACAATGAAATTTGGGGTACAAAAAAGCTGTCTATTCAATTTCAGAATATTTTGCCATTCTTAGGGAATGACCTTTCCAGTGATTGTTTTTTTGTTTTGTTTAGTTGGTTGGTTTTTGAGACACAGTCTTACTTCGTCACCGTGGGGTTAAGTGACATGGTATCATAACTCACAGCAACCTCAAACTCCTGGGCTCAAGCCCTTCTCTTGCCTCAGCCTCCCAAGTAGCTGGGACTATCGGTGCCCACCACAACACCCAGCTAGTTTTTAACAGTCTTTGTCGCCCTAGGTAGAATGCTGTGGAGTCATAGCTCACAGCAACCTCAAACTCCTGGGCTCAAGTGATCCTCTTGCCTAAGCCCCCCAGGCACCCAGCTATTTTTAGAGACAGGGTCTTGCTCTTGTTCAAGCTAGTCTTTTTTGTCATTGTTGTTGCAATTTGGCCGGGTTCGAACCCGCCACCCTTGGTATATAGGGCCTGCACCCTATTCGCTAAGCCACAGGCGCCACCCAATACCCAGCTAGTTTTTAGAGACAGGGTCTCATTCTGACTCAGGCTGGTCTCGAACTCCTAATCTCAAGCAATCCACCTGCCTTGGCTTCCCAAAGTCCTAAGATTACAGGTGTGAGCCACTGCATCCAGCCTTCTAGTGATTTTTTTTTTAAAACAGAGTCTCATTATGTCACCCTTGGTAGAGTGCTGTGACATTACAGCTCACAGCAACCTCAAACTCTTGGCCTTAAGCCAGTGGTTCTCAACCTGTGGGTCGTGACCCACAGGAACCATATTAAAGGGCTGCGGCATTTGGAAGGTTGAGAACCACTCACTGCTTTAGAGGTCCACATTACAGGTTTTGTAGTTGGACTATTGTTGGTTTTATATTGATGTTTTGGTTTCTTCTTCTAAGCTGAGACGAACATGGTTTGGTATGACTGGATGAGGCCCTCTCACACACAGCTTCATGCTGACTACATGCAGCATCTGATTGAGGCCAAAGCCAGGAGCAAGAACAAGGTTCGGGGTGTCCAACAGCTCATACAGCGCCTCCGGCTGATCAAATCTCCTGCAGAAATTGAACGAATGCAGATTGCTGGAAAGCTAACATCACAGGTACAGTTCCTATTGAAAAGTTTTTTTCAATTTGAAAAATCTTAAGTCATTAGGGGTTAGTAGGCACCTTGAGGTCATATAGTCAATGTAGTAATCTTTCAGCATGTAAACATCTAGCTTCTACTTCAGTGTATTTAGTGAATGCTTATAAATCTGCCTTTTTTTAGGATTTTCTTTTAGAGGGCAGTGCCTGTAGGTCAGTGCATAGGGCACCAGCCATATACAATGAGGCTGGCGGGTTCAAACCTGGCCCAGGCCAGCTAAAACAAAAATGGCAACTGTAATAACAACAACAAGAAAAATAGCTGGGCTTTGTGGGGGGCGCCTGTAGTCCCAGCTACTGGGAGGCTGAGGCAAGAGAATCACTTAAGCCCAAGAGTTAAGGTTGCTGTGAGCTGTGATACCACAGCACTCTTCCCAGGGCGACAGCTTTTGACTCTGTCTCAAAAAGAAAACAAACAAAAAAGGCAGACCCTGTGGCTCAGTGAGTAGGGCACTGACCCCATATACCCAGGGTGGAGGGTTCAAACCCAGTCCCTGCCAAACTGCAACAACAACAAAAAAAAAGAAGAAGAAGGGGTGGCGTCTATGGCTCAAAGGAGTAGGGTGCCAGCCCCATATGCCGGAGGTGGCGGGTTCAAAACCCAGCCCCAGCCAAAAACTGCAAAAAAGAAAAAAAGGAAAACAGAAAAAAAGGCTCAGCGCCATAGCACAGTGGTTACAGCACCAGCCACGTGCACAGAGGCTGGCAGGTTTGAACCTGGCCTCGGCCAGCTAAACAACAATGACAACTGCAACAAAAAATAGCCAGGTGTTGTGGTGGGTACCTGTAGTCCCAGCTACATAGGAGATTGAGGCAAGGTAATTGCCTAAGCCCAAGAGTTTGAGGTGGCTGTGAGCTGTGACACTACAGCACTCTACCAAGGGCAACATAATGAGACTCTGTCTCAAAAAAAAAAAGTTCTTTTTGAGACAAGGTCTCTTTCTGTCATCCGGGTAGAGTACAGTAGTATCATCATAGCCCATTGCAACCTCAAACTCCTCTGCTCAAGTAATTCTCCTACCTCAGCCTGTTAAGTAGCTAGAACTAGGCTCAGCGCCTGTGGCTCAAGTGGCTAAGGAGCCGGCCACATACACCTAAGGTGGCGGGTTCAAATCCAAACAACGAGAGCTACAACCAACAAATAGCCAGGCGTTGTGGCAGGCACCTGTAGTCCCAGCTATTTGGGAGGCGGAGGCAGGAGACTCACTTGAGCCTAGGAGTTGGAGGTTGCTGTGAGCTGTGATGCCATAGTACTTCACCCAGGATGATAGC